AGTTTTTGAGGCATTAAAGTTAACAACAGATTGGAGGTCCTTTTCGAGACCAACGGCCAGGTTAGTTTTGTCAGTGATGACAGATTTGCTATTGAGGCAGGAATAAATAGTAGTGTCATCTGAATAGATTTTAAGATGAGAAACAGTGGGGTCTCAGGATAGAATGACAAGTCATCACCTGCCATGGATAAATAAAATATTGGAGGAAAATCCGTCAAGACGATTAAAATTTATATGTTTAACAGGACTTTTGATTCTAAAATGTCAAAAAATGGTTTTTTAATTCTGACAAACATTCTGCTTTAAAGGAATGTTTGCCAAAATAGTAATCAAAAAAAAAGTAATCATAAAAAATGTTTCCCATTTTTTATGTGTGGACCATTTCTGAGTAGAACTGAGATAAGGAAATTCACTGTAGTGTCTAAATTAAACAAAAGTAACAAATTGCTAAATCATTAAACAAATATACTGATGACATTAAAATCATACATTGGGATTTATGCTGATTTGTTAATTTAAATATGATTAAATAGCATTTAATGGAGATGCCTAAAAAATTTCCATAAAAGTTTGAAAGTTTGTAATATACAAGAAAATGAAAACAAATAATGACTTGTCAGGAGTGATTTCTAAGCTTAAGACAATATTAAAAACAACTCCATATTCGTTTAGAAAAAGATAATTTTTTTTCAGCCATTTTTATTCATTAAAATAACTGGAAACACATCTATGCAATTCCTTTCACAGAGGCCAATTTTTAAAAGGACACTGAATGGTTTGTAACTAAGAATAGTCATATGGAAAATGACATTAGTTAATGAATGGGGAATTTGGTGAAAAAATGAAATTAATTCCTTACTTCATTGGTGTTAAATCTCTTCAGTATGTCTTTTCATATTCCAATCATACATTCTTCCAATAGTTTTAATGCATTTGTGAATGAAAATTACTAATGACATACCTGTCTGCAGTAATTTTACAATAAAGCATTTAAAACAGAAAAAAAATAAAAGAATATACCAAATGTGTACTTTAATAAGTTTAAATTATTAAGTGGTATTGACGGCATAAATCAACCCACATTTTTTTACTTTACGAATGTGTAAGAAAATAAAAAAGCAAACAAGAAAAAGAACACAAGAAAAGTAACTTTTCATAACAGGTACAATAAATGACAACAGTTTTACAATAACAATAAGGAAGTTACTTTCCTTTGACTAGCCTAAAGTTTTTACTAAAAAAACATTTTTTATCGGATCTCATTAAAAACTGAATTAACATTTGTCGTTCAAAATGTTAACTATAAAGAGAATCTTGTAAAGCTGAAAATATGTTGATAAGTTTTTTAATTTATAGAAGTTGAAAACAGTTAATGTTCCGTTTGTTTTCGTTGCTCGTAGTTGAATGTATTGTTCTATATTATTTTAAAAAAGATTCAATAACGTAATTGAATAATTAAAGTAAGTTGTAGAAGTTGGTCAGTGAGTTGTTTCTTTGAAAGGGCACTGAATGAATTTCCACTGTTATTTCATGTTAAAAACTTGAACATTAAAACTTGGTACTTCGCTGTAGTAATGATTCAAGCGTCGTGAACTCGTTTAGCAAATTCTAGTTGTCATAAATTCTCAGTGACTGGGTTCGCTCATACCTTCAATTTATGTTTTTTAATCATGTGACAGGCTCAATAAGCATTGTTTTTCGTCAGCTCAAAAACTAGGTTGACGTTATTCGGAATAGTTTTGAGCAGGTAAATTGTTTTTTAATATCTGTTAATCACTACCTGTCTGCCTTACAAAACTCAGTAAAGCATTTGAAAACAGAAAAATATTGCAAATTGAAGAACAAAGGTGAACATATAATAAGAGATAATTTTAATATTTATTGTCAATGAGAAGTTCAGGTTTTCAGAAACAAAGATGTGATCCTCTTTAAAACACGAAAAAATGACAAATTGATGTAAAAATATGGTAGCGGACAGCTAAAATATTATTCTCAATACCAAATAAATCATTAGTAAGAAGTGTTAGGAAAAAAAAAACTGTGAGACTAAAAGAAACAAAGTAAGAAATGAGCAAAACAATCTGTAATAATATTGAAGAGACTAAAGTAGTAAATATTGCCATCAATTGCCCAATTCAGTATATATGACAAAGAAATTTAATCAAAATAAAAAATATGCTTTAAGTGTTCATGTGATAAACTAAAACAATGACAAAATCAAACTTCTGCAACAATGAATAGCAGTCAAAACAATCTCTAATTTTACATTGAGAATAAATGAATAAAACAAAAGATTTTAATCAAATGTCAATTCGGAATAAATGAAAAGGAAGAACTCCTCAAACCACTCTGCAGGCACCATGCTCTTGGTCTAAAAGCTATGTTAAAAATTGCATTAATTTGATGTGTCCACTAAAATGTCATAAAATATGCAATATATTTGCAGAATAATTAAATTAATTATAAACAAATTTTAAACATGAATAGCACTTACAGCCAACAGTCACTAAATAAACATTAAAACCCATCTACATATTATATTCTATCCAAGAACTTAATACCAAAAATAAGACATTACTGATTCAATACATTGAACCAACTTCTTGTATTGTTTTTGTTTTATAAGATTAATGGTATTTGTTAATACTATGTTGTCTTTTCCTACTGGATTTTATTCTTTCAATGAAAGTCCTGGGATTATTCTAAACAGCCAAATTACGAGCAATCCTGCAACAATATTTTATGTTATTGTATTGAATCCTGACACTATGAATTTTGACCTTTAACAAAACCCTGAGTGGAAGGATTTCTACAAATGGTGACCTTGACATAGTTACCTTGTGAAAACATCAAAGGTGACAGACAGCACACACAAATATACATACCTTAAAAAACATGGAACAAAACACAAATAGGCTGGAAGTTTTTTTAACAAGTCACTCTAAATTTACCTGTATATATCCCCAAAAACATAGTCATGGTTTATAAAAATGTAAGCCATATTCAACATAAAGAAATTTTTTAGTGGGAAAACTACCAACAGAAGTTGTAGAAAAGGTTACGGACTTACTTGAGACAATGCCAGAAGTAAATTGAAAACGACCATTATTAAACAAACTGAAATTTCAAATGAGACAATGTTATGACTTATTTGCACAAGTAGCGCTAGGTGACTGAACTCCTTCTCAGTTCTTGAAAACATATGAAAACTCTGTTAGGAATCAATGTTATTGTAGAAAATATTCTAAAGAGATTGTGGTTGGACAAATTACCCAACATACTAACACAAATTTTAGCACCCATGGATAAGGAAACAGAACTGGAGAAACCTGAAGAGTCTACTGACCGGATCCACATGGGTTTCAGAGACAGGGAGGTGAATAAATTGACACCACAACCTATGAACTTATGAACCAACAAGAAAACAAGCAATTTGATCAACTGCAAGCTAAGGTTGCAAGTTTAGCTAAACAGATGCACTCTTTTTTTGAACCTACAATAACAATGAACTCCTAGTGAAAAAAGCAAGCCTAAGTACAGATGAAGGAAGTAACAGCAGGAGTTTTAGCAATGATAGAGGAAGACAGAAATTAAAAACATTTGCTACTACCATTGTTAATTTGATACAGAGACAAGATGCTGTTTGAAACCTTGTACATTTGAAAAACATGGCGCTGGTAAACTTAAATTTCCAGCCAGAGAGATGTCAACAGTTGCTGGACTCTTAAAAAGTGTGCTTTATATCCTGGATAGAAATTGCAGATGTAAATTTTTAATAGATATCTGTGCTGAAGTAAGTGTTTTACCAATTTTGGACCAAAACAAAATTCAAATTCAGAACTTTACAAACTTCAATTTAAAAAACAATAAAAATTTATACATTTTTGTTGAAAAGCAGTGACTATCAACCTGGATATGTGGTGAATTTTTTTTGTGGCTTTTCACCCAAGACATTTGCTACACCAATATTAGATGCAGACTTTTTATATAGATTAAACTTATTGGTTATAATAAACAAATCAATTATTTTTAATTGGTATTTTCATTCATTTGTCACATCAGAACAAAATGAATACTTCTTAATGTTCTTATATGGAGTAGAAATGATTTAGAAATGAAATTTAATGTTTGACTTGAAACATTCTCTTATCATTATCCTCCTTGAATAATAACAACAAAAAAGAAATATATTTCAATATCTATAATAGTCTTTTTTTATGACCCTCTGATTATTGATCATTTTTAATGTGTGAAAATTTAAAATACACTCATCTAAAAAAACAAAGTCTTAAGTTAAAAGAGAATTTTGAAGAGATACCAACAATGAAAACTAAAATCCCTTCATTTGACAAGGGAGTTTAACAAATTTAGGTTATGTGTTTTTCAGGGAACAAAACATATAAATTGAATGAAACTATTTTGTTGAGAATTTTTATTTTAGCATCTCTAGAAAAACATATCAATTAAAAGGAAGGTAAATTTGAAAAACTGAGTTAATTCCATTTAAAACAAAGCAAATATTTTTATTATGAATGATCATTAATATAGAAAAGTGTTTTTCAATGAATCCTGTAACACATTTGACACTTTTGCTTCCGAGATTGAAACAAGTTTCAAGTCAAGTTTTTATCTGACTGAAATAAGGTTCAAGACAAAACTTCATGTGACTGAAACAAGGTTCAAGACAAACCTTTATGTGACTGAAACAAGGCTCAAGACAAACCTTTATGTGAGTGGAACAATGTTTAAGTTAAGCCTTTACAAGATTGAACCTTAGTTAAAGTCAGTCTTTCACCAGCTTGAAAAAAATTCAAGTAAAGCCTTAACATCAAAAGTGTTAGGAGAATCTAGCATAGAATACAAAAGAATTAAATGTGAAAAAAAAAAATCGATAGTAAAAAAAATGTAAGAACACTGCAGCATTACTGCCATAAAATTCCACTCTCATTTCCCCTCTCATAGCATAAACAAGAAAATAGAAATAAAAAAGGTTAACTTACGAATTTCAGCCTGGACTTTCAGAAATGAAAGAAACAAAAATAAAAATCCAAGTTGAATCTTTCCTTTTGTCAATTTTGTCATCAAAAACATTCTCTCAGTTATTCTGGTCAATGTATGTTATTAAATGGAAGTTGTAAAATCTGTCTTCAATATAACAATAACAATATTATGCAAGTTTAGTTGAAAGAGGATATTTGTATTTCTGATGTCACATTCAATACTTGAAATTTAGATTTTATATCTGACTCACTGCTACATCCTTGAAGTCTATTTTAACACTTCAGCAGTCATTTTTGCTAACATTTGAAATCATTTACAATTCTATTCTTAAGTTTTGACTTTGACTGTACGAACTGAATATCTATATATTATGTATTTAAAACTTTGTATCTATGTTTGAAGATATAACTGAATCCAGGATATCCTATACAGCAATTATGTTCTGTTCTCAACTTGCATGATTTCAATCTAAGGAAGTCAACTGTAGTTGAAAAACAAATTCTTAAATCCTCATCACTTTATTTTATTGTTCTATATTCAACTTTCATGTTAAAATCTATTATCTGGAGAGAATAAAAGACAGATTTTAAGAATTTATTCAAACATCTCAAAAAGCTGTCTTTTTATTCTCAAGAGCAGTGGTTCTTTAAACAGAAAAGTTCTTGAATCCTTTTAAGTGGGTGTGAAACCTTGATTTGGCAATTTAGCAAAAATAATAAATAAATTTAAATGTTTAAATGTTTTTTAATAGTTAAACATTTAAATTTATTCTGGTCATTATTTTTGTGATACCTTTAACCAATTTAACAGTAGTGGAAGAAAATGACTCTTTTGTTAAATTAGTCAGTTTAACAATAATAAGATAATATAGATAGCATTCAAATTAACAACCAAAAATAGGTGGTACTGCCTTCTGTCAGCTACAGTTTATAATCAGGTTACCAAACATACTCTCTGATTTTTTACCTCTTCACATTTTATCTAGAACAGCCCAAATTTTTTAGAATTTTTTCTATTATATTGGTTATTTTTGGTGCCATGTTTAACTGTAATAGTTATTTGATTGGTGGTTATTCATCTTTACACTAATATGGTTTTTTTTTAATTTTTCATCATATAAATTTACAAAATTATGAAACCATTGGGGATCTTAGTGCATATTTTAAAATGCTGTGTTTTCCAATACAAAAATCATCAAAGATCATTAACTTTTTCACAGTTAAGATTTTGAATCATCTAAATTTAAAAATGAATTTTCAATTTTTGTTATAATTTTTGTTTAGTTAAACCATTAATGTTGAATCAAAAAGGGTAAATATCCAAGATATATCTATATGCAATGGATCATATGATTGAGACTGGAACAACTGTTCTTTAGAAACAAAAAAAGGACTAATTAATGTTCAAATAATTTATTCACACTTAAATTGGTGATTTGGTTAATGATATTTTTTTTTCAAATATTTTCTTTTTCTTTCAAAAATCTCTCATTAATCAATCAACATTGGAAATGCAGTCATTTCATTGCATTGAGTAAAAGATTATGGAAAAATGAAGGTTTTTGTTAATATTCAGGGAAAATTTTATCCTCATTTAGTTTTCTTTAAAAGACTAAAAGATAAAATCTATTTTGTAATATTCAGTAATATTAAGCAAAACCATTTCTCATCTCAAATCAGGTATCTTCATAATATTCAAAACTATTTTCATGCTTGCAAAAGGGATTAGATCAAATTGATCAGTCATGTTCAGTTTTGAAAATATTTTCAAAAATCATCTTATTCTTGATAATATATTATTATTTTCTGCAGGAAGAAATCAAACTTTTTATTATGTCTATAGGTTTGTCTCTAAATTTGCCAAATAGAGAAAATGGGTCCCCCATGAATGAACTGAACCTAAAAAATCCATGAAGGAAAACGTTTGAAAACTGTTTGGCTGTCATGCTTTGGAGACCCCTCTGTAAATAAATCTGGACAGGACTTCAAAACAAGCAAATCTTCAGGTTTTTGAAACCATATTTAAAGGAAAGACCCATGTTTTTTAGAGTGAAAGGTAATGAAATTATTTTTGATTGTTGAAGACCCAAGGAAGAGGATGTTTTTTTTTGCTTTAATATTTTAATATTAAATTTTATTAAACCCTTAATTTTTAATGATCAGTTTGTTCTTTTTCAAATGATTTTCTCTGTTTAATTCACTAAATGAATGTAAATTGAGCTGTTTATTTTCAACTATTTAGCATCCATCTTTTAACAGATACATAATCAGTTCTCATGGACAAAAATTCTTTTTTTAATGATCTTTGATTTTTTGAAAATATATTTTCTGGGGATCAAAAAAAAAAAAAAAAACTGCTTACATAGAACTTGCAGTTATTTCTAGACAATTCAACTGTAAATTGATGAGACCTTGTTGCCAATCCAGTACTGCACTCAAATTGACAACAGCAGTGTGTTTTGGTAATATGTTCTTTTTTTGTTTTTATATATATTTACTCATTCAAGATAGTAAGCATATATTATTTTTTAGTCTTAGCTTTTTTTTTTTTATCTTTTGTATTTCATGAAACAATAAAAAAAACCTTGTTTAAAAGCATTAATGGATGGTTCATTTTAATCTTTAACCTACATTTGATAACACAGCAATTATATATGTGAAATATAGCAACACTATATTCACATAGAGGTTAATTTTAGGGATGATTTCTATCCTCTGGCATTTTCTGTGGTCCTGTAGTGGCCTGATCCTATGGGTACTGGATTAATGAGGTTGGACTGTATTTATTTATGATCAGAAGCTCTATTGACAGACATTTATACATTTGAAAAACTTAAATATACAAAAATATCTTTTAATCTTGTTTATAGTAACAGTTCATTCCCTTGAATTTATTCATTTTAGTAGCAAATTTTCTGTGGTTTAGTAGTGGCCTAGTCCCAATTTACTGGATTAATGAGGTTGGACTGTATTTATTTATGATCAGAAGCTCTATTGACAGACATTTATACATTTGAAAAACTTAAATATACAAAAATATCTTTTAATCTTCTGTTTAGTAGCAGTTAAGCAGAATTTATTCATTTTTCCAGAAAATTTCTGTAAACATGTTGAGAAATATTCATTTAATTTGTAAAAAAAAAAAAATATAAGAAAGCATAAATTTCTGTTGTAAAAGCAAAGTGACCAATTCATTTTTGATGGATGTATTATGTGTTTTATTTGTAATGAAAATTACCAGGAAAAAAAAATGCTGAGCTTCTAATCTTTAATGGACACTTGAAACACGGATATCCTTGATCTGACCTTTTGAAATAAAATTGTGTTAGAAACAATCCTCTTAATTGTTTTGTTTAAATATTTTTTTAAACATTTCATACCAAACAAGACAAAAAAGCCACTAAAATGCGAGGGGGTTACTGATTAGAGAAAGAATACATTAAGGAAAGAGAACAATAAAAGAAGAAAAATTAAGGAGACAGAAGTAAACAATTGACATTGAATTTAAATCTTTGAAGATCAAAGTTGACTAGAAAGCAAAAAGCAGGATTATAGTTCCATAGGCAAGAAGTGTGAGAGAAAAACTGGTAGCATAGAATAGATACATCGAGAGCCATTTCAACTGTTAAATGATGAAACCTTGCCAATCTCAATCAGGTACTGAAGAAAACTCATTAAATTCATGAAAATATTTATATTTATAATTACATTATTATGACATTTTAAATTAAATCTGAGATGCCAGGTCAGGAAATAACATTGCAGGTTCGCACATTAAATAAAAAACAAAAGAATCTTTTCTAAGAAAATGCAAATCAATCAAATTCTTTTCTTTATTTAAAAAATTTGAAAGGAATTCTATTTCAATCAAAATACTTCTTCAATTTCAATGTTGAATAAAATTTTGTCCTAAAACAAATATGAACACATTTTCACTCAATCAAATCAATTAAAAACAATCATGCTCTGCTGCATGTTAACCTCCAACAGTTATTCAATAATCAACATACTAATCAACTAATAGTCAACTCTGGTGTCAGTAGCCTGAAACTACTATTTATACACCTGATGGAAAACATATTCATAAGTCCAGATTGTCACGCTCAAACCTTGGTGTTAGTAGCTAGCATTTTCTTTCTGTATAACAGAATGATATCACATTATCATGTTTTATCACATTCACTGATTCTCTTCTATTGATCACAACACATTTCTTAGTCATCTTCTTGCACTTCTCTATGTGAACCTTAGTTTCTGACCAACTGTTTATGATCATATTCACCATTATCTCTTCAAATATCTATAAATCTTCAAATGGCTATTTTTTAGAATGTGATAAAAATATTTGATAGCCACTATTCTTTATTTTTTTCTTATATGTCATCATTGTGGGATTACTGTGGTAAGATTTGCATGATGTGGGGTGGTGGGGGTCATTGTTTCCGTCTAAGTTCTCATTATGCCAAAAGATTCAAAGAAAAAAGTTTGGTAGAGTTATCTCCAACACAAACAGGCACTGGTCAAATAAATGGATGTCAAATGTCTTGGACAAAATCTCATTTAACTGAGCCAGTCTGTATTCAAAACAAAGTCAGCAACTTCTCCTGATTGTCAAATCTATGAACTCTCAATCCATTTTAGAGCCTATGTTCAACTACTGAGACAGTTTCAAAGGTGAGAGGGAGCCTTGATTGTAAGAAGCTATGGTGACTATGCCAGTTCTAAGAAGGAAAAATCAAAAATTATTAATTCTTAAAAAAGCAAAAAAAAAAAGAAAGAAGAAATCATTGAACCAATAGAAAGAAAAGTCAACATGGGTGGCTGCTTCCTCTAGTTGCCTGCCATTCCTTGAGACACTGCCACCATAATCATTGTAACCTTTAGCACTACTAGTACTACTTCAATAGTGAATAGGATAAGTGTTGTAGCATGACTATGAATGATAATGGGTATGTCCCCATTCACATAAATATAGTTGTAAATACTGTATATTGGTCTGCAGTTGGAGATTCATTGTGGAATTCACTTGACTCACTTCTAGCAGTTGACTACTTCTTCTACGCGCCACTGGTGAATCTTATA